ACCGGAAGATGTTGTCAAGAACCTCGTGGAAAAATATCTCCCGCTCCCCACGGGCCTTGTGACCCCTCACCCTGATTACTCTGGCAGCGACAACACTAACTTAGACGCCGAGTTCTCTGTTGAAGATGTGCGCCGAGCTCTCCATGAGCTCAATGGCCGCTCAGCCCCTGGCCCCAATGGCATCACCAACAAGCTCCTACGCAACCTGGACGATTCTTCCGTCACTTACCTCACTGACACTATCAACGAGATATGGAAAAAGGGTGAGATACCCGATGCTTGGAAACTAGCTCGCACGGTTCTCATACCCAAACCGGGAAAGGCGCCGAGCCTAGATAACCTACGCCCCATATCTCTCACGTCGTGCGTGGGCAAAGTGGCTGAGCACGTCGTCCTCAACAGGGTTGGTCGATACCTCGAAGATAACGACTACATCCCGCACCACATGATTGGCTTCCGACCAGGGTTATCCACTCAAGACGCCATGTTACTCCTGAAGCATCAAATTCTAAATGGCGGAAACACTCGGGACACTCGTGCAATACTCGGTCTCGATTTAGAAAAGGCCTTCGATACCATAACGCACTCGTCAATCTTGAAAGCGATCGCAGCTCTCGGCCTAGGTCGTCGATTTTACTACTTTATCCGCTCTTTTCTCACTCGGCGCAGAGCCGTCCTCCGCGTAGGAGACCTAGTGTCGAAAGAAGTGGAGCTCGGACAGCGGAGCACGCCTCAGGGATCCGTCCTCTCACCCACGCTCTTCAACCTCGTGATGATCGGGCTTTCTGAACGACTTTCAAAAATAGACGGGCTAAACCAGACTATCTATGCGGATGATGTAACCATATGGTGCTCCACAGGGTCGGATGGCATCATTGAGTCCGCCCTGCAAGAGGCTATCGACATCACCGAGTCTTACCTCGACCACACCGGTCTCAGGTGCTCACCTGCGAAGTCGGAGCTGTTGATATATTTGCCCAAACGCCGGGGTGTCAAGCCCAAAGGGTGGAAACCTCCGGCGGAACGAAATATCACCCTCCACACCAGAGATGGTCGTACTATACCCAGGGTAGACACCATCAAGGTCCTCGGCATGATCATCGAGTCCCGCGGAACCAACACCCAAACAGTACGCAAGCTCAGGACTAAGACTGAGAATGCCATACGACTCGTACGTAGAGTAGCCAACAGGCACCATGGCCTCAAAGAAGACAACCTGCTGCGTCTCGTACACGCGTTTGTTTTGTGCCATTTTACGTACGTTGCCGCTATACACAAGTGGCTACGTGCTGAGCGCGATCAACTCAATGCGCTTATTCGCAAGGTAGTCAAACGAGCCCTTGGCCTCCCTATCACCACTCCAACGTACAAACTCCTCGAGCTTGGCGTAAATAACACGCTAGAAGAGATCGCCGAAGCTCAGGAACGTGTGCAATTGACCCGACTCACTACAACCAAGGCGGGCCGCCATATTCTGCGCGAGCTCGGCTTCTTCTCCTCGAGGGCCAGGGACCCCCCAGAGTTGACTCTAATTCCCCGTGAAATCCGCGACATTATTACGATCGCTCCCATACCACGAAATGTACACCCCGAATACAACAGAGGCAGGCGCCTTGCGCGGGCGACCGCCATTCTCAAGCGCATAGACATGGAAGCGGACAACGTCTCGTTCGTGGACGCCGCTGCCTATTGCAACAACCAAGCCTTCGCCGCGGTCGCAGTATCATCCGCGCAGCAGACTCTTAACTCAGCCACAATCCTCACCCGAAACCCCGAAGTAGCGGAGCAAGTAGCTATAGCTATAGCTATGCTCGACAGCAAACGGGAATTCATCTACAGCGACTCCAGGCCGGCCATCAAATCCTTCGAACGCGGAGTCATCTCCGACCAGGCGTTACGTATCCTGCGCAATGCGGACCCGAGTGCCCTGGAGCACCACACTGTCATATGGTTCCCCGCCCATCTCGGCCAGGTGCCGGGTGCCCTATCCAACCTCAACGAGATCACCCATGATGCAGCGCGCGCACTTACCGACCGCACTGCCACAGGGCAACCTCATCTTGCTGGGTTGGATACCAATCGGGATGCACCAATTACGTACAATGAAATTACAAAGCACTTTTATTTGGAACGCCGCATTTTTCTACCCCCCCATCCGAAACTTAACCGACCGCAGGCATTAACCCTACGCCTATTACAGACACACACGTACCCAAACCTTGCCACGCTTCACGTTTATTATCCCGATGCATACCCCAGCGACACATGCCCATCATGTGGACACACAGCAACACTCGAACACATGCTCTGGGAGTGTAGAACAACTCCTCCCGACTCTACTTCAAGCAAGTGGGAGAGGTCCCTCAGGAGCTCACTTCTCGCCGACCAGCGATGGGCCGTCCAGCAGGCCCACGAAGCGGCCGCCAGGTACTCAGTGTCGGTCCCTACGTGGGAGACGCCCGCTACGCGCTAAGCGCGTCCTGCAGGACCGAAATAAAGTTTTTTTCATTCCATTCCATTAGTCATTGATGTATTCACACGTCTCTATCGCATGCGTAACGACGTTCATTTGAAACGAGGCTAGGGACATATCAGCGTCTCTATAAAGTATGACCGTTTTCCTGTCCATTTATTTAGCACGAGATTTTCCACTTGCCTTCCTCTAAGCCATTTATTACCCTGGTGATCTCACTTTTCTGGCTGGCTTGTTGCAGGCTAGTGACTTCCGGCTTGAAGATATTCAGCCGCATCACTAGCTTGACAATTTCTGCTTGGCGTGTTTTCAATTTGCATAAGCTTGAGCGATTCGACTATATAGTAGTTTTGCTGAAAGTCTGACTTTTAAGAAACCTGCTTGCGTAGTCGCTAGTGGAATGAAGGAATATAAATAAAGCTAAACTATTCTTTAGTCGTATCCGAGAAGGGGTTTTGTAGGAAATGGAACACTTTTGTTATAAGTAAATGTGAGCTGTACTGTATTGCGGACAAAAGACTTGTACACAGTATAAACGCCATATTTCAGAGCAATAGTCTAAAGGGGGAGGGGGGAGCTTATATGTTCGTGTCTTTTTTTGGTTACCTCACTGTCAATCCAGTTCACCCAACAGAGTGTAATTATCTGGATCTGCACATGAATAAATTCAATTCTTTAGAAATCAACTCCAACGATTAGGTCATGATTACGTCAGTAGTTCTGGCAAATTATTGCTCTATCAATATCAAGAACGGGCACTTCTAGACGAATCTGTATAAAGAACTCTCGAAAAATTGCCAGCGACTACCACCACTTTTTTACCCTCTCACGCACTGACTCAATGTATGCAACGACTGTGTTCTGAAGCAACGAACAGTTCTTTCTCTTTAATGGAAACAGCCGCTCTTGATTGAGATTACTACAACTTTAATGGTCTATTCAGTTCATTTAGAAACGCTTTTTAAAATTTAAAAAGAACTCTTACAATGAACTCCATCGTCTGTAATGAGAGAGCGCTTATCTGCTGCTGCAAGGGCCCTTCGTGCGCTAAATTAAGGGAGCCCTACGTCGGTCAAAGCAGAGTCATACCCCTGAGAGAGCATTGAAAAATTGAAATAACGACCCCGATTTCTCGACAGCATCTTCGTCTGTCGCCATCATTAAGGACATACACGGGCACGAACTGAAGTGGCTGCACGGAACTTTGATGTACTTTTTCCTCCCTCCATTGCCACTGGGATTGAGTGTATCAGTATTCCTGCGAACCACCCCATTTAGGTAACCGCATCTTGATCCGAAGATTTAGCCCGTGCTTATACGAAACAAGGGACCGCAAGAAAGCATACAGTCGCTCAAGTGATTATTTTGCTGACATTGCCCCGTTCTAGATCTGGGTTTGTTGCGTCAAGTAATAGGTTGAATATTTCAGGTGGCTGAAACGTTGTTCTTATTTGAAGACATGCATGTATTCCTAGTATCGCTAAGTGTTCAAAGTAAACCGAGTGACATACAGTTTTGCTTTATCTTCTCAACATTTTCAACTGACCAAAAAAGCATATCTGTAGACGCGCTTACAGTTTCTTCGATGCTATTTTTATGCCACCATGCAGGCTCACTTTCATATAAGCTGAATGGGCCACTGTATAAGTACGTAAGTCGAACCCATTTATAACAACACCAGCTTTAACAATATATTGGCTATAACAATGATAAGCTGCTGTGCATTCAGCTTCTGTAAATTTTTCAGAGTGAAATAACCCGCTTACAGCAATGCCCGCCCGCGTGCTGCATAATTGGTTATAACAATAAATTCTGGCTGTTTGGTGTTCGTGCCTTCATGGGGGCCCACGGAGTAAATTTTCTGTGCTTCCACAGTAAAATCTGAAGGGATAAAATTTTTTCACTCCGTCTCGTTTTGCCCCATAATATATCGTTTTGCTTCTCAGGTTGGGGCGAAATCGGACAACTGATGCATATTTATTTCATATTTTGAACATCTCATTGAGCTGGGAAAACATGGTCATATTTATGCGGCATATACCTTGCATCCTAAGAGAAGATTCTACGTTGATGTTTTATTGTAAAGACTCAAATAAAACAAAGGTTATTTACTAATTTTAATTTTTGTCGCATTTTACCCCACCCTGCTCTATATGCTGAATGGAGAGCTACTTTACATTGGTATATGAGTTTCTTTTCATTTTCTAAACAATTTCAGCCATTAAAGAAGCTCGGGTGGCGGGGCATCCGCTTCTACGGCTGAAATTATGAGTTCACTTTTCATTAAACCGAAAATTTTTATTACTATTTTATTGGCACCCATCTAAAATTGTCACTCTAAATAACGCTGACTTTTCGCCCACAACCAAGCCCACTGACGCCGACATCGATGGACACACGGAAATTTCTGCGAAAAGAGCTCCTTAACGCTACCGCGTTAAAAAACGGCCTACCTTTCTTGATGATTGCTGTGAAATTCGCCTAACGTGACAATTACAGCGAAGAGAAAATTGAAAAGCCAAGCCCCTTTGAACCAGATGTGTGACGTTTATTCTTTCTCATGATCATCGTTGGTTTCGTCAAGGTGAACACAAAGTCATGGCCGCAAAATGATCGAATGAGCAAAACATTGTTTTCTTGACTACAAACAATGCATAAGGTATCTTTTGCATTGTTTGCTGTGTAGCAACCTAGTTTTCTATCCTTGTAATGTAATGTTGAGCACTTCCATGATGACATGTCTTATTATTATGGTGAACATTTTCTCGCGATTTTAACTCCTCTTAGTTCAGGGATTCCTACAAGTAAGCTTTTTTACCAGTTATTATAAATCACACGGGACTTCTAACATGAAATATATTTAGCTCGTGCGTTCATCATATTGCCTATTGAAAATAATGCAAATACATGCAACGAAATATATCATTAAGCCCTTTCACAGCTAACTTTTACAGAAAATTTTCTATACCTTGCTTAGACATGAAAATACAGCTTCAACTGCAAATTCAATATTTCGAGATATTTGGAACGTGGTGGGAGAGTCCAGTATACGAGCAAGACAAACCACGAATTTTACTTCATTCTTGAGCGTGATTCACCGTTGGCTACCATAAATGGCGCTGGGAGGTTTTACAGGTAAAGTTGATTTTCACTTCAGAAAATTACAACTGCAATACTTGCACGTGAAGAACTGTTGGTGCGACAAGCATAATACATTGGCTGTCAAAATTTCAACGCATCGTATGGTATTGCGCCGCATAGACCAACTAGGGAGCCATTTGCTTTGGACGTGCCTCTACACTTAGTAACAATAGACACACGTACATACGTCAATACACTCAAGTTCACGTTTAAAAGTTTGCTTTCGATAAAACTTATATCGCGCACTGAATAGCATAAAGGAAAGTGCGACCAGTAGGACAATAAAGAAAGTATGCCGATTGTTGTCGCTACCAGAGACTTAAGCTTTTAACAGCTTTATCGCCAATAAACCCATTTATAAGTCACAGCGCATTCGAGTTTGTTCAGTGCCTATCATTTTTGTAAAGTTGGTAGCCCTTAGTAGTTGTTCGTAATGATTTAGGTTGTTCTGAGTAACACATGTAAGTGTAAAATACACAGACGCTCGCATATATAATAAAACTTATACATCTGTGATAGGACATCATGTTGAAAAAATTTTCACACAAAATGCATCTGTATACACAGCTACACAGCTATGGCAGTTAGCTATTGATTGCTTTAAGGCGGCCAGATATTTCTAATATCTTGAAACAAGTAACAAACCAGCAGGCCTGCTCTGAAACAATCAATTTTAATTTATGCCTACTAAACTACACATTTACAAGGGATGTTCCCCTCGTGAGTCAAAAATTTAGGTTAACCGCTTTGAAACACTCACTCACTCCGAGCATTCTGGGTATGAATTATTGTGGAAGAATAGTAAATATATCCCAAATATATCTTTCATTCCAATCACATTAGATAGGCGAACAGATGCCTCAAGATAGCACTGAGCATCCAATGAATAATGCTGTTCTGACGCTTTCAACAAGCACTCGTGAACTACTGCACAATGCTTTCAGGATTACTGTCAAAGTTTCTACAGGTGTATTTGCGCTACAACGCATAAATAGGGCATGCATGAAACATCGAGCACAATGAGCACCACGGTTACCTTAAAACAGCTCAACTCCCGCATGTTATTGTTGAAATCGCGACCGCTGGGTGTGAAAGGCACCGCACTGCTTGACAGGCGTGTAAGCATAACAAAGCTGCCCTTCGTCAGCTTGCACGATATGCGGGTTACATTTCGTAATGTCGAAAACATTCCCACCATTACATGTCTGGTTCAACAGTTAGCCGTAACGTGCGTAACATTTGTGTCTGTAACTTTGTGCAAATGCAGTTGTTTATTGACTAAATATAAGAAGTCCTTTTATGAGGTGCACGATGAGAAGATTTGGAGAACTAATTAAACACACTTCTAAACATACACTTTTGAACTCGTGTCTGGGTAATTTTTTACTCTTGTTGCCAGTAACAGTTCTCAGCTTCTAGTTGCTTCTCATTTCAGAATTTTTGTTCTCCATGCACTCGAGACAGCTTGGCAGCTGACGTGGTTCACTTTAAAACAAGACAGCCTCTAATATAAATGGGCCGGTTTGACAAGCGTATGGATCAAGCTATTCTTTCCGCCGCAGTCACGCCTTACAACATGGAAGACACCGCGAAGCCCTTGATCGCGGTAACAATGAGAACATGACATTTTAAGAAACGTGTTTCTTCCCTTGACCAACCTGCTCAGAAAGTCAACATAATCAAGACCACTTGTCACACAAAGCACGAAATTGTTCTTCAGAGCCATCTCGTGTCATTAGCACGCTGCTTATATGTCCTCAAGTCCACGTGGCACGAATGCGTGTTGAGTTAGAGCTTCAAAACCCCGCTGAAGAATGGCGCTCATCTGCGCCGGTGACACAGAATCTTGAGAAAGGCCTTGCGAAAGTCATTGTTGAACACGGTGTAGATCGCAGGGTTCAGGGCAGAGTTCACGTAACCCAGCCACGTGATGAAGTTGACCGTCTTTGGTGCGATGCTGCACTGTGGACAGAAGGGCAGGATGACGTACATGAGGAAGAAAGGAAGCCAGCACAGCACGAACACTCCCATCACGATGCCCAACACGCGGGCCGCACGCCGCTCCTTGGAGAGCGAGATGCGCTGGCGCTCCTCCATGTACTGTTTCACGTTGGGAGCGGCCCGGCAAGAGCCGCCTAGGCTGGCGGCGCCATTGCCACCGTTTTGCTGGGTCTTCCCGCGTGTTTCCGGAATGTCGTCCGTTCGGATCGCGGTTACGCTGTCTAGGTCCGGATCGATTGGGCTTTGTTCAGTCTGGGGCGAGTCAGCCGATGAGTTCTCGTGAGTGGTTGGTGGCAGTACGTTTAGCGCTGAAGGTTTCACCTGCGAGGCAGTTAAAAAAAGGTAAGTTAAAACATTTTGGGGTGCTTTAACACGTGGCTAACTTATAAAAACACATCATAGCGTAGTCTCCTGTTGAACATTGACCACCAGGCGCACTTTAAGGTGTGCCTTTATAAACGTTCATACATTCCTTTTCGCCCTCAAGAAAACGCAACGCCCCACCGCGGTGGTCTAGTGGCTAAGGTACTCGGCTGCTGACCCGCAGGTCGCGGGATCGAATCCCGGCTGTGGCGGCTGCATTTCTGATGGAGCCGGAAATGGTATAGGCCCTTGTGCTCAGATTTGGGTGCACTTTAAAGAACCCCAGGTGGTCAAAAGTTCCGGAGCCCTCCACTACGGCGTCTCACATAATTATATGGTGGTTTTGGGAGGTTAAACCCCACATATCAATCAATCAATCATGAAAACGCAACAACCGTGTCATTTAATCACAGCCGCCCACCTGAGCATTCTTGGTAGGCAAGGGTACTTACTGAGTAATGTCCTGCTACACAGCCAAATAACGTAAAAAACAATCAAGCCAATGAAGCTACAGAAGCTCAGGTCAACCATATGGAGGCGTCCTTAAATGCAACACATCATACTTAGAAATAACTTTGGCGTAGTAAAATTTTGCCCCACTGACAAAGCGCGAGAGACAGTAGCATTGGAATGATTTTTTTTGTGTTATCACAGTGCATGAGATTTACAATGCTGTAGTACCTCTAAAACAGTTTCGTCGGATAATTTTGAGTTCTGAACAAACTAAAAACAAAAACGTTCTGGTAGAAAATATAGAGCGAGACCAACCTGTAGCGTGGCTGCCACTGCCTTGGCACGCTTGCGAAGCCGTCGCCTGGTGGCCAGGTAGATTTTGAAGTACACGATGGTCATTATAAGCAGTGGTGCGAAGAAGGACCCGGAGGCCGAGTAGAGGACGTATCCACGCTCCTCTGTCAGCTGGCAAGGCGACGTCTCGTCAAACTGCTCCGGCCAGTCGTTCCAGCCAATGAGGGGCGGCACCGAGATGAGTGCGCTGATGCCCCACACCAGCACGATGGAAAGCAGCACCCGCCGTAGCGTGCGTTTCTGGGCGTAGTTGATGGGATCGTGGATGGCCCAGTAGCGGTCCAGCGCTATGGCGCACAAGTTCAAGATGGACGCCGTGCAACAGAGGACGTCGCATGTGAGCCACAGCTCGCACATATGCAAGCCGAACACCCAGCGACCCATGATGGAGTAGGCCACGTTGAAAGGCATCACCAGGAGCGCCACTGCGATGTCGGCAACAGCCAGGGACACTATGAACATGTTTTGAACACTCCGAAGAGGCCTGTAGGTGAAGATGGCCAGCACCACGAGTACGTTTCCAAACACCGTTCCGGCCACGATGGCCGAGAGTATAAGGACGGTGGCCACGGCTTCAGGCAGTGGCACGGCAAGTGATAAGACGGCGTCTTCGCCGCCTGCAACACCACCGTCGACGACGTGGTTGCCCAGGCTCACGGTCACATTAGATTCATTGACGTTTCCCATGAAGGAACCGAGTCGCGTTGAGGTCGTGTTTTCACCAACGTCAAACATGACACTGTTGTAAAGAAATCGAGGCACGACCGTGCTGCTGGCTGTGTCAATAAGGAGGCCCGCACTGGAGGTCATGGTTCAGGCGATTGCTGGCCCTCACTAGCTTCCAAGAGGGCAGCATGCATGAAACCCTGGAAAAAGGAAAAAAATTGGTCCTAAGACAGATAAAAAAGCTTTGATTTGGTTTTGTTTTTATCCGCATTTGAAACTAACCCTTGTCAGCTTCACATTATTTCTAGCAGTGTGTATGCATTCAAACTATATTGCGTTTGAACCATAATGTTCGTTTTGTATACTTCACGATTAGATCTCTTACATCATATCACCCTACATTTATTTAGCTCTGTTCATTATATACGCGTGACTATTCACTTTTGTCATTTTTTCCTTAGCTTACTATAAGACAAAGACAGTAGCCCGATACACGTGCTTGGAACATTTTTACCGGATAGATATCTTTATCAGCTCAGCTGCATAGCTAGATGTATGTGATCTGTTAATTCTGCTTGTGTAAGAATTTAACTGGCCGATAGGTCTACTGTGGTATACACATTTATCAGTGAATTATATCGAAAAAAAGAAGTGATGTTTTCACTTTTTTTTAACGGTGAGCAATGCAGCTAAACTGGACAAACCTGAACTATTCAATGGTTGAACCTATATATACGTCCGGCAAAAGATAACACGGACGCTGGTGAGCGTACGTGTACATATTGTGTAATATTGTTGTTTTAAATGCGAAGCAGCGAAGCATTTCTTAGCGAGCTTTGGCGACTTTGAGCATATCTATCTATCTATCTATCTATCTATCTATCTATCTATCTATCTATCTATCTATCTATATATATAAATATATATATATATATATATATATATATATATATATATATATATATATATATATATATATATATAGATAGATAGATAGATAGATAGATAGATAGCCGCCTGTGACTTTTAGTTCTCCTGGCCGTTGAGATAATGGTATTGATACCAAGCTTGGTATGGAATAACATGACTATATGACGAGCTTATTTGAACAGACATAACTTGGAAATCACGATATGTATGTTACGAATGCCATGATCTACATTTCATGGTCTCGCAGCTCTTGCGGCGGTTTCGTTCGAATGACATGTTGCAAAACTGGTATGGTATGGCATGATTGCATGGCGAACACAAGCGACAGACCCAAACATGGAAATCGTGACATGCGTGTGATGTAACAGCATGACTATACGTCACACTGATGCTGCGCTCGCAGCCGTTTCGCTAGCTTCACATATGCTAAATTTGGTATTACGGGACGTCAATGGATGATGAAGGTATGTGGCTGGTGCAAACATGATAATCATAAGATGTGTGTCTAGTAACAACGTGACTACATGCCACGCTCATGATGCGCTGGCGACCGTTTCGCCAGCTTCACGTAGATGAAAGTTGGTATTAACCGGACATGAATGGATGACGAAGGTATGAGACTGGTGCAAACATGATAAAATCGAGATGCGTGTCATGTAACAACATGACTGCATGCTAGGCTCACGATGCGCTCGCCGCCGTTTCGCTAGCTTCACATATACCAAATTCAGTATTACGTGACGCGAACAGACGACATAAGTAAATGACACATCCAAACACGATAATCATGACAAGCGTGTCATGTAACAGCATGACCACATGCCACACTGATGATGCGCTCGCAGCCGTTTCGCTAGCTTCACATATGCCAAATTTGGTATTACGTGACGTCAATGGATGATAAAAGTACGTGACTCCTGCAAGCATGATAATCATGAGATGCGTGTCATGTGACAACATGACTACATGCCACAGTCAAGGCGCCAATACATTTCAACGTAACGTGGTGCGCGTGCTCGCCGGCGTTCATTTCGTCGCATCACGCCAGCGTTGCCATGCCGGTCCTGCCATATACTCGCCGGCGCGCGCCGCGCTTCGTTGCTTTTACGCATGCGCGTTTCAGCGCGTCCAGTGTCCTTCCGCCTCGAAAAAAGGCAGAGGCAGTGTTGTCTGGGTAACTCATTGGCGCGAAATACAGCATGTCGCATTTCGCGCCATTTGCCGTCGGGCCGCGACGATGGATGCTTGTCGCGCCGGTCGCGCTTGGCGTCAGACTATAGAGTGTTCGCGTTATGCTAACGTAGCGTCGCTGTGCCCAGCGTGCGCGCACGTCAACGTTACGTTCGAGTATATTGGGCCCTTTATGATGCACTCGAGGTCGTTTCGCTAGCTCCACATATACCAAATTTGGTGTTACGTGACGTCAATGGAGGGCAAAGCTATATTACTGGTGCAAACATGATAATCATGAGACGCGTGTCATGTAAGAACATGACAACATACCACGCTCATAGCTTGCTCGTGGCCGTTTCACTATTCCACATACACTAAATTTGGCATCACGTGACGTGAATTGATGACGAAGGTATACGACACATCTAAACAAGGTAGTCATGACATGGAACTCGTGTACGGCATAATTTACATCCACCTCTTAACGTTGTGTTGATTTGAAAGTGGCATATCAACCTTCCACATTCGTGCATCGCATATCATCGATTCGCACTGTACGTGGGATCTGCCAATTTTTATTGTTATGTTTTCTTTCCTTGTTTGTTTATTCGATGGCAGTTTCGTGATGTAGGAAAGCCTCCTCTACAGCATATAGCCTGTATTGGTGTTCTCACATGTGGCTCCATTGAACAGTGCAGTGATCATGGTGGGCAAAGCCTCTGAGATTGTGATCTGCGGGTGCACCACGTATAACTTAATATACACGGGTTGTTTCATCCACCAGCTTAAATTTTTGTGCTCGCGGAGGCCCTGTAATGCGCACTGATTTTCGCATTGCGCAAAAGAGCTGACTAGAATTCGAAACAACGCTTCAGAAGCTTCGGAATCATTGAAACACGGCCAACGGCGTACCGTAACCAGTTGAACAGTTTTATTCTGTGAAGCACGGACACAGCGAAAAAACAAAAAGCAAAGCAACTTGTGCATGCTAGTAGAGTGTCCGCAATTCTATACTTCTATCACCCCATACAGGACTTTCCACTACGCTGCTGTACTTTTCGCTTCTCCTCAAAGAACCAACAGCATTAAAAACCACTCGGGGATTCGCAGGCTGATCTCACGCGTGAACTATCCGCTCGCTTCATTTCGTTGCTTCAGTCGTCACTGTTCCGGCCTACCGTAATCCACTGAACGCCACCGTATTCTACTTGCAGTATCTACAGGAATACACGGATGCAGTGCCATGTTGCGGGCGTTCACGCCAATCAGCTTTACCCCCGGAAGGCCGGTTCTTGCTGCCCGGAAACGAAGCTCGATGTCGGCATCCAATATCCGTTGCCAGACATTCCGATAGCTCTCAATGTTCCACGCTGCTTGTGCGCCTTACGTTCCCAGTCAACAAAAATCAAAAGAAGCCTCTCTCTTCGATATCTGTTTCGAAAATGGCGTAGAATGGGACCTCACAGCAGGGAGTTTCTAGTTCGTTTACGCCGCCGTTTACAAAAAGGGTCTTCCTAACTGTTCGAGTTTTGTTAATCGGCTTTTCCGTGTATTTCCGACCCGTTGGTTTCCTCGGCATCATCGATAAGCGACAGTCTGCGCATAATTATCTGGTCGTTATTGTCTGCTGATTCATGTAAAAAACATTGCTCTCGCCAATGAAACAACGTTTTTTTTTGTTTTATTCAATTTTTAACAGCTTTCGGCGTCCGAAAAGAAAGTATTTAACCGCTTCCTCATTACAGTGACAAAATATTAGGCTCAACTCTATCTCCCGTAACTACCACTACAGTGCGTACCTACTCATCACTGTTTAATAGGTTTTTCCAAGTAGCTGGAGATCCCTGCAGTACTTTATGCGTTTGGTTTGGGAAGGAGATTTGTATGCATATTAATTTATTCTCGTCCTTTAGGTTTACATGTGTTATAAAAATGCTAACTTCACAGAACAACGTATCATCATCCACGTATAATCATCTTGTAGACGACTAGCCACGTTCCTAATTGTCGTAAAATACTTCAAAGCTGCTGGAACACTGTGCAGATTAGAATAAACACTACAATCACTACATTCCTGCCTGTATGTACTTGGCGAGCTGGAACAAAACTACATGCCTTTTTTTCTTAGCTTGTTGGTTGTCATGAAAACAGGTAGCCTTTCCTGTTTATTATTTTATTCAGTAAAGAAACGTTTTCGATCGTATTTAGCTGTTGAGGCGGGGGCACTTAACATAAATACTAACTACTTATATTTACGTCACCTTCAGTTCTTGTCATTATATTGTTGTTCTTTATTTACATAACTCTGCTCGCTTCCTTTTCACAGCACAATGTTTTGATGGTGAACTCGATTCAGAGGCGTGTAACCAGCGGGCAGTACATTAGGCCCGCGCCACCGGCCTCGGCTCCCGAAAGCTTTTTCGCCATGAAATATAGAGCACAAAACAACTCTCGATCCCATATGCCTGCCTAGCCCCTCCTCTAGATCAAATTATGTCCTCCTCCTCCTCCAAAAAAAAATCTGCCTACGCCGCTTACTCCAGCTCGCTTTTTCGATTCATGGCTGCCGTGATCACGTTTTGTTGGAGCTCAAACGCGAGAAATTTGATTTAAACAGATACATTGGTTCACGTAAAAAAATCTCATATGGTCAAAGGTAACACAAGAACGATCCACTAAGGCGCCTACAGGAAAACACGTCACCGAGATGGGGGCATCAAATCCACCAAACCAATGAATGATTGCAGCGCATTTCGCCTCGTATTTCACGATTCTTTTTTTTATCCACTTTTGGTCGCAATCCTGAAGGTCTTCATACGTACCATGGGCTACTCGGAATAAGCGAAATGAAACGATCCGGTGCCGATGCTCTTCTCGAACAAAATCAGTCCGCGCTAGAAATGCACCGATGGCCAGCATTGTTCAGCTTAACAAGTGGCCGTTGGCACTCGCCAATCACTGACGGTGCAACAGCAGCGATCCTGCATTACCGTATGCAGCCAATTTGTAGAAGCTGTCAACCTGCAACGGCTCCTTACGAATCGGTTTCTTCTTTTTTTG